GGCCTGTAGGGGGTGCTCCTGTGCTGAGCCACCCACCTCACTGCACCCAACCACCTTCCAGGCTCTGAGTGCCTCCCTAGGGGTGCTTCACATCTGGCTGACCCCCTTCCTGGAGCACACCCACTAGCCTGGGGGTAATGCTACCACCACCCAGAGTCTGGACTGAACTGGGACCTGCACCCTCTGGGAAACAGGCCTAGTAGTCCTTGAGAGTGCTTGACTCACTGCAAGAACTTGGGGTGCTTCCCTTAATCTGAAGCACAAATAGTGGTTTCCTGTAGTGAGCCGAACCAAGGGGACCCCAAGGCATAATCTAGATCCTCTCCCAGTAAGTCTCCCATGCTAAGCACAAAGGAGAACTTTGTTAGTTACAAGGAGTAGGTTTGGAATAGGTACAGGGTAGAGCAATGTCAGAGAAATCCCATAGAGAATAGTGGCATGGTAGCCTTTGATCATGCATCTGAGTTACTGCAAGCTATATATCTAGTTAGATCTCAGGTAGCTTACTCACAAGTATCATCCAGAGGCAGGTGGAGATTCCCTCTGGAAGCAAGCAGTTCACTGATCATGAGTTTCATGAAAGAGAATGAGTTTCAGATGGTCCAGCTTCTCTCTCTGTGAGTTGTCATGATGGCTACTGCTCCTCCTGAGCAGTCCTTAATTTATATAGACCTTATGACCTCATTTACCTGATCCAGTGAAGGCCAGCAACTGTTGGCTACCAGCCAACCAATATGAAATGCATCACTGGTTGCCAGGTAGACTGACAGGATCTTTAGCCCCCTCACAGTGAGGTTGGCATTGCTTAGAACAATAGGGATCTTAAGCCCCCCACCCAGGTATGTGATGCCAGTCACGTAGGCAGAGGGAACAGGTTTCCCCCCTCCCTCAGGAACGTATCCATCTCAGGTTACAACTCAGGGTTACCTGAAGAGATGGGGCAGAGGAGTCTGCCCTTTGCAGTGACCCTGGTAACCAAATTGTGCCATAGCAAAGTTTTGGGGAGAGACAGAGATGGCATTCTCCCACAGTGTTGATCTAGGAAATATATCAGAAGTAATATTTTTTTGGTGATAAATTTTATTGGACCAACTACATGGATGGAAGAGATGTTAGACATGCTTTCGAGCACAAAATGCCCTTCCTCAGGTCACTTGAAGACTGAAGAAGGGCTTTTTATGCCTGAAAGCTTGTCTAACATATCTCCCAACTATACAGTTGGTCCAATAACAGATATCACTAAATACCTCTTATTTCAGGACAGTAGTAAACTGCCTATACTTGTGCATGACAGTTCCTGGCAGCTACAAAAATATGTTCAAAGTTTCATTCTTCAGAATAGTGGTTGCATTGTCAGTTGGATGTCATGGTTTAATACAGACATGTAGAGAAATATAACAGTTGGTCACAAATGTCTTCTGTCATTCTCCTTGTTGTTCAGATAGCATCTACAAAGAGTCTAAACATTTTAATGCTACCAGTTTATGATGTAAATCTTTTTTTCATCACTTCCATTGCAGCAGTTCTACTTTTCACTGTGGTGATGCATAAGAACTGCAGAATTAGACTGTCTTGGTGAAAAATTCAGCATTGTTGTTTGAAATATTTTCTTCCTGGTAGAACTGAGTAGAGCTGTGAGACCATCTGAGATACCCTTCCAGCCTCAAACACAGAGTCTGCTGGTGGATGCTTCTGGAAAGCCAAAGAAAAAAAAGGTTAAATTGCCATCATCTATCAAGGGGTGTAAGCCAGAGTCTAAACCAAATGAAAAGGTAAAAGAAAATCATTGGGTGTTTTTACACATGCTCCAGGGCTGGAGTGTGTGCTTTAATTAGAGCAATAACAATGATCTGATTTCCTGAAGTGCTGAATGCCCTCAGTTCTCTTTGACTTGAATTGCTCAGCATTTCTGAAAAACAAACCACCTCCATCCCAGCTTTTAAACAGAGATCAATGTGCCCTACACTTTTTAGGGTTCCAAATTTCAAAGTATTAGCCTTAGTTAGTATGTCAGATAAGCTCTTCAGTGGCAACTACATCATAGTTTCATAGTTTTCATTATACATCTTCCATTATATATCTTTGTTTTTTATTATTTATCTACCCTCTTCTGTTATCTAATTTGCTAATCTTGTTTGTAAAGATAGAAGATCCTATTGGTGAAAGAGTCAACATATCATCTCATGGAACAGTGACAAAGTGTCTTAGTGGCTTCCTTCTCATTCCTGCTAAAGTGACCTTTGGGGTGCTGAAGGAAGGCTGCACCTATGCAACCACAGCGATCTTGAAGAACGTTGGAGTGGACTTCTTAAGGTTAGATGGCATTAACATTAAATTTGCTTTAGAACAGTCTCCTAACTTTAGCTGCAATCAAATTGTATGCCCCCTTCATCTTTGTACTCTCTGGTAATATCAGTAAGTTCCTCAGATTCCAAATGGTATTTGTATTTGGAGTTCTCTTTATCTTTGTGGAACCATATTCTAGAATATCTGGCTTCAAAAATGCAGCAAAGGAGACAGATAAATTAAAGCATAAAGAATGCTGAGCAGAAGGGTAGGGCAGTTATACAAAATATATAGAAGAATAGAAACAATTTTGTAGCACTAACAGGTAGATTTAGCCTCTCAAAGCAGCCAGCACCAAGCTTTGGATTGATGAAATAGTACTCTCTGGTTTGTTCTGTGCCCTGCTTTCAGCAATATTGGACCTGCAGTTTGCAGAAAGGGAGAGCTCAACTGCTACAGTTGGATGCATTATTTTATTTTGCTCCAAAAAGAGGACATTTTTCCACCTGACATTTTAAAAAAATCAAAATCCTGTACACACAAAGTGTGGTTAGGGTCTGGTGTTAAGCTGGTTCAGCACTCCTATTGCAGCCACTCCACAGTGGACTGACATCAGCTGTCCTATCTGGCAATACATGTAACATAGTCAAGGTACCATGTATTACAGATCCACAGAATTGTATTCCAGAATCTGGATTTATATCTAATAAAAGCTATATTTGTCACCCTTATGGCTGAAAACAAAACATTCAAAATGTAGCCCCAACGTAGATGAGGCTCTGTTAGCTTTTGGAATCTGCAGAGGGCCTAAAACAATATTATTGCATCATGTGCACTGCTCCTTCCATGTTGTCATGACACGTTTATGCTGAAATCTACAAAGTCAATTTGAATGTTATCTTTGTTAACTATTTCACTGCTGTTCAGTATAGTTAAATAAAAGGATCATAGGGAAGTAGGGCTATGGAAGGGACCTCACAGGTCCCCTCTTAGTCTTCTCTTCTTCAGGCTAAATAACCCTAGTTCTTTCAGCCTTTCCTCACAAGTCAAGCTTTCCAGACGTCTAATAATTTTTGTTTCTCTCTGATGGACTCTTTCTAACCTGTCTACATCCTTCTTGAAGTGTGGGATCCAAAGCTGGATACGCCTGGAGTGGCCTCACCTGGAGCGGATACACCTGGATATACGCCAAGTAAAACCTCACCAGTACTGAATAAAGAAGAAGAATCACATCCCTCAACTTGCAAGTGACACTCTTGTTCATATAACCCAGTACTCTTTTTGCAACAAGAGTACACTGTTGGCTTATATTCAGCTTATGGTCTACTATATCCCCTAGGTCCTTCTCTGTAGTACTGCAACCTAGTCACTCATTCCCCAGTCTGTATTTGTGCATACAGTTATTCTGTCCCAAGTGCAGGATTTTGCACTTGTCCTTGTTGAATCTCATTTGATTGATCACAGGTGATTTTTCCAGTCTGTCCAGGTCATTCTGGATCCTAGCCCTACCTTCTGAATTGTCTGCAACTCCTCCTACTAGAAATTTGCTAAGCATGCACTCAATCCCATCATTTAAATCATTAATGAAGATATTAAACAATATGAGACCCAGGACAGATCCCTGGGGAACCTCACTTGATACTTCCTCCCAACTAGACATTGAGCCATTGATGATTACTCACTGAATATGATGATCCAACCAGTTATGTATCCACCATGGAGTACTTTTGTCTGGTCTGTTTTTTATTACCTTGCTAATGAAAAAGTTGTGGGAGACCATGTCAAAAGCCTTGCTAAAGACAAGATATATCACATCGACAGAGCCTGTCACTTTACCATAAAAGGAAATCAGGTTGGTCAGGCATGACATGCTCTTGGTGAATCCATGTTGGCTGATCCTGATCACCTTGTTCTCTAAGTGCTTGATTATAGATTCCATGATCTTTCGAAGTATTCAGGTCAGACTAACTGGTTTGCAATTCCTCAGACACTCGTTCCTCCTTTTCTTAAAGATGGGCACTATATTTTCCCTTTTCCAGTCATTCAGGACTTCACCCAACCTCCACAAGTTCCCAGAGAGGATAGCTAGTGGCTCTGAGCTTGCCTCAGCCAATTCTTTCAGTACCTTAAGGTACAACTCATCTGGTCCTACTGACTTGAAAGCATCTAGCACAGGGGTGGGCAAAATGGTGGATCCAACCAGCGGCTGGACTGGATGTGCACTGCTGCTGCCAGTTTCCATGGAGACCCCAGGAGTGGCAGAGCCGGGACAGTGCAGGGACAGAGTTTCAATGGAGACCAGCCCCAACGGTGCTGGCAGGGCTCCTGGTTGGGTGGGAAGTGGCTCTGGGACTGAGGCTTGGATTTTGTAGTGGTGACAGCCTGGGCAGGGGCATGCAGGCAGCAGATTGTACCTCTGCCCCAGCTCCAGACCATGCTGTCAGTGCTGCAAGATCCCAGCCCCAGCGCAGCTCCCCATTCAGCTGCACACCCTGCCAACACTGTTGAGGCCAGTCTTCATGGAAACCCTGGCCCCATGCTGTCACGGTGCAGCCACTACTGGGGTCTCCATGGAAACCGGCTGCAGCAACATGGGCAGGGACCGCTGGGAACGGGAATCTGCCGTGAGTCTGATCCAGCCCACAGTCCAGACTTTGCCTGCCCCGATCTAGCATCCCTGAGTAATCCTTAATCTGTTCTGCTTTATTCTAGACTAGTAATTCTCAGTCAGGATGCCACAGCACCCTAGGACGTTTTAAGATCCTTTTAAGGGTGTTGTGGGATGTCAAGCAATGTTAGGACTGTTACACATGCAGACATGATTCACAAGATAAATTCAAAGATTTCAAATAGAAATCCATGGTATTAAATGCATGGTATTAAAACCTGTTATGGTCTTCCTGAGTTCTCTGCAACAAAAGGAGTGCTCTATTATTTTTTCTGTGATCAAAAGTCAAATGAAAACTAAGAGCTGACATTTTCCAAAGGGTGCCTTGAGTCTAGCAAGGGGTGCCTTTAGTCTATAAAGGTGTATTCCTTCCCTGTCTTTACTGACAACTGCACTGATCTTCTGGTAGCTGCCCCTGTGTGTTAAGACTGAAGTAAAAAAGGCATTAAATACTTCAGCCTTCTTTGGATCATCTATAACTAGATTTCCTTCTGCGTTCCATAAGAGATCTACAGTTTCTTTGGTCTTCCTTATGCTCTTGACCTACTTGCAGAATGCCTTTTTATTTTCTTTTGTGTCCCTTGCCAGTTGCATCTCAAATCATGTCTTCATCTACCTACTTTTCTCACTGCACAGGGATGCAGGGCTCTTATACTCTTCCCTAGTAATATGATGCAAGTTTCCACTCTCTGGAGGATTTCTTTTTGAGTTTCATCTCATTGAAGAGATGGGTATGTAGCCAGTGTAACAGGGAACCCTTACTCTGTTATGGAAAAACCAAATGACCCTTTTAAGGGAAGGGTTTTTGTGAACTGGATAAAGGCAGCCAGTCAGGCTAAGGTTAATAAGCAGCCTTGCCAGCAGGTCAGCTAATAGAGCACATGACCAGAAGGGGGCAGGGCTCTGAGCATTATAAGCCCTGACCAGAGCCAGAACCAACAGTCTGTCTTTGTAAGCAGAAGGAAAAGGAGTCCTGCAGGGGAGCTGCCTGGTGAAGATCAACTGTAAGCATGCTATACCTGGAGATGGCATAGAAGCCTGGAGTTGAGGAAAGTCAGGGAGCCTAGCCCTGCACACCTTAAGATGAAGAGCTCCGGGCTAGGAGGGCTGCAGGATGATGCCAGGCTTACCCCAGAGTTGCTGTCAGGGCTGCTAGCATGATAGCAGTCCTGGTACACCTTGGTAAGAGAAGCCTCACTAAAAAGCATCAGGATATAACTTACTGTTTGATTGGTGGTTTGTGGAGGGGACTCAGAGGTAGTTTTGGAGGTTCCATTAGTGCCCTAGGAGCATCTAATTGCCTTGAGCCCCACTGGGGTCAGGGTTAAGGCATAGTCACATGCCTGTGAGGCCAGCAAGCCCAAAAAGGGGTAGATCCTAGAACCAGAAGGCCCAGTGTCTGAGTAGGAAAGAGACAGGGCCAAGGGACCAGCACCCAGAGCAGGGCAAAGATAGGGCCAGAGGCCCAAAGCGTGAGGGGGACTAAACCAGAGACCAGTAGGGGAAGGCTAAGGATGGAGCCCAGAAGCCGGGTCTGACCCTGTGGATCCTGAGCTAAGCGGCCCAACCAGAGAAAAGGAGCAGAACTTCTGGACCAAATCAGAGAAAAGGAGCAGAACCAAGCAGGGCGAGGTCCCTATAAGGGACTGGTTGGACAGATGACACCCGTGAGGCATGGGAGTGGTGTAAGGAGCAGTTTGGAGCCACGTAATAAGGTAATGGGTGCCTCAAGGCACATATAGGCCAGGAAGGCCCAACTATGAACAGACTCAGTTTGGGTTAGTGAGGTACAAGAGGGGATCCAGGGGCAAAGGAAGGAGGAAGACTGGTTCATAAAAGTTAAGGGCTGGAAGGGACCTTAAAGGTCATCAAGTCCAACCCCCCCTACTCTGGGCAAGAATACTGCTGAGATCAAATGATTCCAGCAAGGTGTCTGTCCAGTCTCCTCTTGAAGACTTCCAAGGGTGGGGACTGCACCACTTCCTTGGGAAGTCTATTCCATATTCTGGCCAGCCTTACCATGAAAAAGTTCTTTCTTGCATCCAACCTGAAACCATTCTCTAACAATTTATGGCCATTGCTCCTTGTCCTACCCTGGGGTGCCCTAGAGAACAGTTTGTCTCCCAGCTCCCACTGTTCACCCTTTACATACTTATAAATGGCCTAGTCCACCCTCAGTCTTCTCTTCCCCAGGCTGAACAGTCCCAGATCCCTTAGTCTTTCCTTATAAGGTTTGTCCTCCAGGCCCTTAATCATTCTTGTGGCCCTTCTCTGGACCCTTTCAAGATTCTCCACATCTTTTTTTGAAGTGGGACTCCCAGAACTGGGCACAGTACTCTAGCTGGGGTCTTACCAATGCTGAGTAGAGAGGAAGTATCACTTCCTTAGCCCTACTTGCTAATTGGCTAATGTATCCCATTATGCTATTAGCTCTGTTGACTACGTTGTCACACTGACTTGTGTTTATCCTGTGATCAGCCATAAACCAGAGGTCCCTTTCAGCCATCATGCTGGCCAGGACATCTCCTCCTAATGTATATTCATGCCACTGGTTACTTCTCCCCAAATGAAGCACTCTGCATTTTTCCTTATTGAACTGCATCTGGTGCTGCTCTGCCCACCTCTCCACCTTGTCCCAGTCCACTTGGATCTGTATCCTATCCCCTAGTGTAACTGCTTTTCCCCATAACTTAGTCGTATCATCCACAAACCTAGCCAGTGTGATTTCCCCATCCTCATTGAAATCATTGATAAAGATGTTGAACAGCACGGGGCCAAGAACCGAACCCTACAGGACACCATTGGCCACCTCCTGCCAACATGATACAGACCCATCCACTAACACTCTCTAGGTTCAACCCCTTAGCCAGGTCCCAACCCACCTGATCATGGACTTTGCCATCTCACAGTCCCCCAGGATTTTTTATATAAGTGTCATGGGAGATCATATCAAAGACCTTTTTAAAAATCCAAGTATATAATAACGACCATGTCTCCCACATCTAAGCAGTGAATTACTTAATCATAGAAGGAGATGAGGTTGGTCAGACATGATCTGCCCTCAACGAAACCATGCTGGCTATCCTTCAACATCATGCCACCAACCACCACCACCTGTGGTTTCCTCTTGGCAGAAGTGGTCTCAATCCTTCCACCCCTAGGGATATGTTCTTTGGCCTCCCATGGCACTCCCTCTCATCCAATGCTAGGGCTTCATACCTGTTCTCCAGCTGGACTGTCACAACTTTCAGAAGAGGAGTGCTGTCTGCTGCCAGAGGTGATAAGCTGCCAGCTTCCACCCTCCTGAATATCTGTGTCTTTTGTTTCTTCCAATGCCTTGTTTGGCTGTTCCTTTTCCAAGAAGCTGGGGATTTCTATGTATTGAGTCAATGAAGGCCATTTGCTCACAGATGCTTCTGAGCCTATCCACCACTTCCTGCAGCTCCTTTACTTGATTCCTGAAAGAATCCACCAGGAGGCATCTCTCACAGCACAGGCACACCCCCACCTGGATGTCTTTTTCAAGGAAATGCCGGCTGCAGCCCCTGCAAAACCAGACTGGAACATGGGTGGAACCTCTGTGGTTGGTGGCTATGCCAGGACAGAGCCCACACAGGTACAGGCAGAGGAAGAGCTGGCAGTGACAGAAGCTTTGACATAGTGACATCTTCCAGCTATTCTGTTGATTGTCCTGCTAGCTCCTCCTTCGTCCTCTGCTGCTACTTACTGGAAAACTCCCTCTTCCTCTTTTACCTGCCTCCATTCAGCAGGCTTACAATGAAAGAAACATAAGAAAAGGGCTTGGGCAAAGTCCCCAGCAAACATACCTGTTTACTGTCCTGTTTGCTGGTCCTGGTGTCACTGGGTTCTAACTAGCCTAGCCTTTCTGGTTAGGGAACCCCTGCCTCTGTTCACACTGCTACTATACAAAAACTGTGCTCATCCTAAGTCCCAAACTCCATCCCAGGTGCTGAAAGCTACAGCATACACCACTGATACAAAGCTTAAATGAACAATTGCCTCCTGTTTGATTTCAAGGAAGTAGGAAATGGCTAATGGGGTTTGAGAGTTATGCATCTCTGGTCCCTTTACATCAATGGTCACCAACCAGTCTATCCCAATTGACTAGTCAGTCATGGAGCCTATGACAGTTGATCTCAGTCTAGGGGGCCTGAGCGCACGGAGAGGGGAGGACATACAGCCTGGGAGGGCTTGGGGGGCGCGTGACCCCGGATCTGCACATGGGATGGGATGGGATGGGATAGGCTGGGGCCAGGGCGGTGCCAGGCTCTTCCCAGCATAGCTATTCTGCCATGTGGCTCTCAGGCCGGGCAGCAGTGGTGGCACAGAGGGGATGGGGCAGCTACAGCAAGTTTTTGGGTGCCTGCAGCCCCACTTCCAGTGCCGCCAACGCTGCCGCCCAGCCTGAGAGCCATGTGGCAGAAGAGCTGTGCTAGGAAGAGCCTGGTGCTGCCCCAGCCTCAGCCTGCCCTGCCCCACTCCACATGCAGGTAGTGAGGCACATGCCCCCCATGCCCTCCATGCCCTCCCCTTTGGCGCAACCCCTGGATGAGCTGCTCCTGCTCCACTCCCTCACACCACTGGGGGGGGGGGTGTTGATTGAGGCTCCAGCAGTGAGGGAGGGAGCCAGGCACAGGCAGAAGCAGGGTCTGGGGGAAGTGGAGGACATGCAGAGACCTGGGAGCATGTGCCCCTAGGCCTCTGCTTGTCCCATCACCTGGCCACACCAGGTCCACTCCCCCCATCCCCTGCTCCTGCCTGTGCTACATTCATTGTGGCCAGAAATATGTCCACAACCAGTACATGGTGATGAAGTGGAAGATCTGGAAAGTCCTGGTATCATTTGTATATGTGTGGGAGCTATGACCTCACTGGTCCCCAACCGCTTCTTCCATATGTCCTGAGTTGTTCCAAATGGCAGACTGACTGTCTTTATTCTCCAACAGGTTTCGGGTGAAGCAGCCATCTCCCAGCACTGGCCTAAGAGTGATTTACACACCAGGGCCTGTAAGTTGTGTACAGCCTATGTACCTTTCAGCAGAATATCCTTTGTTTTCAGGCAGTTTCATATTGGCCCTCAAAGCTTCAAAAAATTTTCCCAGGAGGCTCCTACAATGTTGGTTTGGGGACAAGGGTGGCAGATAATTGAGGTAACTGAAGCCTAATTTTGGAGAAGTGAGAGGCTGTGAGGTTTACCTTCATCACCCTTTCCTCCCACCTGTGGAGTACCAGATGCCACAAAGGTGCCTATACACATGCTCCAGGATGTGTGCATCTGAAAAGTCACATATTAAACAGTCTTCCACATCAGGGAGAAAGTGTACTGAGCATTAAGTGATAGGTCTTTTGATTCCATTGAGCATGGATAGACTAAAATCACTGCCTGTGCATGATTCTTTTGTTTCTACTAGGTGGCAGCAGGATTGCAGGTTGAACTGGAGATTGAGATTTGTGCCATGGCAATTGGAAAAGAAGGTACTGAAGGCCCTGGAGAAATTTTCTGTTGTATTGAAATTTTAACAGAAACAGAGACACTCTTCCTGCCTGTGGAAGCAAATATCCTTTGCTGAGCTATTGCATAAAGACACCACACAATGTCAGGCCCAGGGATTTTCCAAAGCTGTAATTAAGCCTCCTTTGTGATAATGATGGACCATGTCAGCCAAGCTGAAAACTCCACTTCCTGTTCATATGGTGGGCTGTTTGGAAAAGATAGCGAGAGCTTTTTCTGATCCCAGCTACAAGTGTTTTTTTAATCCTTCCCAAAGCCATTAGGTGTTGGCTACACACAAGGCTGGGGACTTTGACTGGGTATGCCAGTGCTCTTGCTGGGACCAAAGCCTTAGGTTCTTGGCTGAAGGGTCTTGCCCATCTGCGCAGGGTCAGACTGCTTGCCATTACTTGAGGTCAAAAAGGAATTTTAGTCCATGTTCAGACTGGTAGAGAGTGAGGGTTCGGCACTTTGGCATCCGACTGACATCTATAGGTAGCCAGTGAGAAGGATTTCTCACTGGCTACCTTTCCAATGGCAGCATCTGTGGGGATGGGACTAGAAACAGCATAAAAGCCTCTGGTCTGAGGCATTCTGTAGCCTTTCGCAACTTGGTGCCTGTCAGGACCTTTGTGAGAGATGAACGCTCAGACTGAGACATTGTGGCTCAATACTAGTTGAACTTGTCTGGTCTTTTTTCTTGTTACGAAAGAGTGGGTTGAGCTCAGCTCAGCTTTTGTATTATTATTAGTATTATGATTCAGTTTATTTCTTTGAATTTATATTTGCCTTTTTTTTTTGGAAACTTTGCAAAAATGTGTGGTTTCCCAGCCAGTGTGATCTATCCCTGTGCAGGGAGGCACAGATGGCTTGCACGCACACATACAGATACAGAGACAGAGACACACAATATAGAAAAAAATCAGATATTCATAGCAGAAGAAGACAGACAGCACACAATTTTTACATAACCCTTAACACCGAAGCAAACATTCAAACAAGAGGCTAGTGCATGCACGCAACAGAGGGAATAAAACGCACAACACAGAAGGATTCACACACACAGAGACCTTTTACAGCACAGGAAAGATCAATAGGAAGTGTGCTGGAAAGGCAGGTGCCAGGCCTTCTGGCAGGGGAGGGAGAGGGGGTAGGAGGAGAGCTAAAGCTGCAAGCCCTGCCCCCCAAAACACAGATGCATTCTATTCCCAAGCAGCCATGACATCAGTGCTGCCAGTGGAAGCCAGGAGAATCATAGAATCATAGAAGTAGGGTCGGAAGGGACCTTGTAGATCTTCAAGTCCAACCCCCCACCTGGGTGGGAGAAAAACTGGACTGAGTCCAGCCAGGTAGGCATCAAGCCTCTTCTTAAAGATCCCCAGGGTAGGAGCCAGCACCACTTCCCTTGGAAGTTGGTTCCAGCTCCTAGCCGCCCTAACTGGGAAGTAGTTCTTGCGGATGTCTAATCTAAACCTACTCTCCAGTAACTTGTGTCCATTATTCCTTGTTATGCCAGGGGGCGGTAGGGGAAACAGTGTCTCCCCCAAACCCTTCTGGTCCCCCCTAGTGAGTTTATAGACAGTCACCAGGCCCCCCCTCAGCCTTCTCTTGTGAAGGCTGAACAGGTTTAGGTCCCGCAGTCTTTCATTGTAGGAACTGCCCTGTTGTCCCCGGATCATGCGGGTGGCCCTCCTCTGGACCCTTTCAATGTTGTCCACATCCCTTCTGAAGTGGGGCGCACAGAACTGGACGCAGTACTCCAGCTGTG